CTTCCGCTGCTCTTTACGTCCGCTCTCTTCTACCCCGTCTATCCGCTTCCCCATAGCTGTAAGCAGCAGAAGGGCAATGTCTTCACAATTCGCCTTCTCCTCTTATCTCGTCACGCCATCTGAGCTCAACTCGGCATTGAAGCACAATGCCAGCAAACTTTCTACAGAACCCCGCATTGTCCCACTTTGCGCCTCTTGGTTCTTGCCCAACGACGGTCGCAATGGCTACGACACCTTTCTTGCACAGCGCATCCCCCGCGCACGCTTCTTTGATCTCGATGCCGTCAAAGACATCCATTCGCCGTACCCGCACATGTTACCCACTCCCGAAGATTTCGCAATCGCAATGAGACATCTTGGTATACGACGGGAAGACAGCGTCGTTGTCTACGATACAAAGGAATTGGGCATCTTCTCTGCGCCGAGAGTGGGCTGGACGTTGCAGGTCTTTGGTCATCCGAAGGTGCATGTGCTGAACAACTTCCGCAAGTGGGTTGAGGAGGGGTTTCCAACAGAGAGTGGAGAGCCAAAGGACGTCGAGCCGACTGAGTATGCGGTGCCAAATTTGGAAGAGGACAGAGTCGTCGCTTTTGAAGAAGTGAAGGACATTGCGAAAGAATTGGGAAAGGAAGGCGCAGACGAAGTGCAGATATTGGATGCTCGTAGTCTTGGAAGATGGAAGGGCGTTGATCCAGAGCCCAGAGAAGGTATGTTCTGTCGCATGCGATACTATACAATCTGGTTAGCTGATCTCTCTAGGCCTCTCATCTGGGCACATTCCCTACTCCACCTCCGTACCCATCACAGACCTCCTCGACCCGAACGACAAGACCTTTCTCCCTGCCTCCGAACTTCAAGCCATCTTCAAGTCCAAGGGCGTGGATCCGTCCAAGCCAATTATAAACAGCTGCGGTACTGGTGTCACGGCAGCAATCATTGACGCGGCATTGTCGGAAGCTGGATTCCCCACAGAACAGAGACGGTTGTACGACGGCAGTTGGACGGAGTGGGCTCAGCGCGTGAAGCCGGGTGAAGGTCTCATCCGCAAGACGGAGTGAATTGCCGCCTGGAGCGCGAGTTTGGTCATGGCTATGAGACATTTCCTTCCAAAGTTGATACCCATTTCACTTTCGTGCATGTAGTTTGTATTGACGAATATATGATGCTTTTCCGCCTTTCTGACCATGAAGAATAGAAATATATATCTAAGATACAAATGTCGTGTCCAACGATCACCAACAAATGGGGTATATGCAGACACCTAGATGGCTCAGCCAAAAGACTACCATGTCCACGAATGGAAACGCGCAAAAGGCGGACGGTTCTCAACAAAAGAAAAGAAGTGAATGATACGCAACATAGGAACCTATAATTCTCCGCGACGGGGCTGCTGAGAATTACAACCACTCCTGCGATGACTCCGATGATTGGGAGGAAGGAGGTGCTTGCTCCGACTCGGGCTCTTGCGATAACGGAGGAGTTACCAACGCCAGGTAGTCCTGTAGTGCCATCAACGACGTCGATGACTCGGAGGTTTGCGGCGCTTGCGGCGTTGGCGAAGACTGGAGCAACTGCGATGACGAAGACATCGGCGAAGACTGAACCATGTCCAAGGATTGAGGCGCCGCCTGCGACGCTTGCGGTCTTTGACCTACATAACGCGGCGAAGTCGGGTCAAGGTAGGTATCAAAGAACTCTCGGACTGTTGGGTCGGCACGAAGTGTTGTATTTTCCGGAAGCGCCACAACGTTGAGCCCGTTGAGCGAGCGTGCTCTACTGACTGGTCGGGGAGTTAGCTTGTGTCCCGCAACGAAAGATGTAGTATAACTTACGAGCAACGTAGATCTGGCTTGCCTCAAAGGCCTTCGAGAGATTAACAGTAACGCGATCCAACGTCATGCCTTGGGACTTGTGCACTGTGATGGCATAACCTGCCAAGAGTGGGAGTTGCGTCCTTGATAGGCGGTTCGTTATTTTGACTTTCCCACCCTCTTTATAGGTTATGACCTCGGTGACAGCGCAGTCTGGGTAGATCGTCCTCACTTCCTTATTGTCGAATGTGACAATTGGCCATGGTTTGGGCGTATTCTTCTTGGCGAAGAGTTCGAGCTGAGATTGTACATAAGAACCATGACGGCCTTCTTTGCATGGCAGCTTGCTGCGGTCGTATGACTCAAAACCGGTAACAGAACCTTGGCAACCGTTCACCAGACCCTTCGCGGGGTCAATGTTGGCCACCAACATTACACGCATACTTCCTTTGATAAGCACACATGGATCGTAGCGGCACCCATCCTGTCGGGATTGTTAGTGAGACCCGGAAAGACAACAGAAGTAACATACCAAGCGTTTTAAACAGCCGAGATTGGCAGGATGCTTTGTGCTTGCCTCTTTGTAGTCCACCAAAGATTCGTCACTACGATCGGTTTGTTGAAAATGATCCAAGCAATTGTATTCAAGCTTTGCCCGTTCAATCAACTCGATTTTATCATCGTTAACCTCTTTTACTTTCTTACGTGTCGAGTGTAGTTGAACGGCGTCTTTTGTCTCATTCGGATGATGGAGTAGAAGCTGTCCGTGAGGCGCGAGAATGTTACCATCTGATACGCGTCAGTTTGCTGCCCCCAGGCATAAAAGTAGTGTCGAAGCAGCATTTCGACGATGAGAAAATATTACCTCTGCGTATCTTTTGAAGAATAGCAACAAATTTCCTGTCGCTTTGTCGGTGAATCTTGGTAAGATTGATATGTGTGAAGTTGCAATTCTGTCTGCGTTAGTGCACTTCTACAGTAGGAGTAAAGAACAGAAGGGACGTCTAACATACCTGCCATACTTCACTGCAGAAAGCCCACTTATCAGCCATTCGCCAGGGGCCGTAGCCACATCCCTTGGTCTCACAGGAAATTTCACACTCCAGCGGGTCCTTTTCGTCCTTGGGTTTAAGCTTTGTGCCACATCCCATGCAATGCTTGAAAGGTTCAACGGGTGCAAGTTGACAAAACTAGGATGATTAGCGTGGATGTGACGTATTTCATGGTGCGACTCACATCTCCGGTAACCACGACCTGAACACCACCAAATGGTAGATCGGCGTTATGTCTTGGAGATCTACTAGCTTTCATAATCTCGCTCAATCGCTCGAGATCAGAGTTCGGAACCATGCTTATCTCATCGATGACGAGCACCTCGACGTCGTTGAATTTTTTCCATTGTTTCTTCCCGCGAGCAGCTTTTTTTAGGTCGTCCAACTTCTTCCCGGAGCTGTATATGTTCCATGCTGCAAAATTATGAATTGTTTGGCCACCCACGTTGTACGCAGCGAGATTGCTTGGCGCTATAATTTGCACCTTCCATCCTTGCTCTCTGAGCATTGGGACAATGGTCTTGAGGATGGCTGATTTTCCAGTCCCTGCAGGACCAGTGTAGAACACATTTTCCCCCTCTAGGATCTTTTGCACCACAGCCTTTTGTTCGGGTTCCAGTTTGATATTGGTTCCGGGGACGTAGTAGTCTGCGAGGATGTTGGGTTTTGGGCGCGGCGCTAAGCGCGCAACATCTCGCTCGTACAATGCTGTCGCTTCCTTGATCCTTTCTTGTTTTCTCTGATCGCGGAGGCGTTCCGCTTCTTCAATGGCGGATCTGTTGGCGTTCATGAACGCCAATGCCTCTTCTGCTGTGAAGAAGTCTCCGCGTAAGTATTTATATATGTCGTTACCTTTCTGCTGGAAAGCGTCTTGGAATTTTCTGTAGATGCCAGGGAATTTCCCGAACGCGACTGCGTAATATTTGCTGTTTGGTTTAGATGGATCGGGCTCCTGAACGTACAGGCCGGCATCCCGCAGATGTTGCATCGATGTGAATGGTGCTGTTCTGCAGTCTGTGGGGTCTTTCTTATCTGCTCTGGGGTTGATTCTGGGGTTGCCGGGAATGCACCGTAGTTGTGCTGGGTTCCGTGCTGGCGGCTGGCATTGCTTCGAGACTGGCTCTGCGTCGCAAGCGGGGTTCTGGGGCTCCCGGACGATATATCCTGTCTCGGTCGCTTTGGAGAAGTGTCGAATTGGTAGCCGTCTGGCTTTCTTTTCCTGTCGTTTGTCCCCGGCGGCGTAGCCATGGGTGGAATGTTTTCTTGGTCTGTCATTGGCGGCGGTGAACTATTCGTATTGTATGATGTAAGATGAAAGCCTGAGGAAGGAGCGCGACGTAAGGGAGTGTATGGCGAGGATTGCGGTGGGTGTGTCGTAGGAACGATAGCGAGAGGGGCATCATCCGGATACCGGTTCGGTACGTGACCACCTGTTCACACGGTAAGTCTCAAAGCTCATACTGGAACCACTGCGGAGGAGGAGGAGGGGAACCACGTACCGGGCATGACGTAGCAGTCGACAGGATTGTATGCGGCGTGGTGGTAAGAATGATCGTATGCGCCGACTCACGGTAAGGGACAGCTCATTGAAGAGGCCTATTAGAACAAAAGGCGACCAGAATAATAATATGTTCGCGACAGTGATAGCCAATAGCGAAGGGTGTGATGGAGGCAGCTGGAGTGCGGGGTGCAGCGCGATGAGAGCGAATGGTCGCTCTCGAGCCGAGTTCGACGCGCCAAATCGCGCCCGGCGAGGCTGGTCATCGCGCTAACCCCGATTAGTGTAGCTCCCAGCCCCACCAGTCTGGCGGGGTGCATATGCTTCTTCTAGGCTCCGCGCTCGAGCTTGAAGTCTGTTCGCGAATGACTTTGGATTTGCATATTGATGGATTGACAAGTCGACGATGGTGCTTTGCCGTGATTCGTCTGTATGGCCGTCTTGTGATACTTTGCAAGCGAAGAAAGGGACCGATGCGAGATGTATAGCTTTTACACAAAAATGGTCCAGAAAATGGCAGGTCATCGTCCTCATGCGATGATATTGTTGATACGTTCACTGATGTCATGACTAGTCCGGGTTGCAAAGTCCGCAGCGCTGCTACAGCGTTAACACAAGTCTACAAATCTCGATTCGACCCTACTCCTCTCCAGCACTCAAAGCCGCCTCCGACACCCCCCGACTACTACTACTCTGCCCCGTCCTCGCCCTCTTACTAGCCTTCCCAGCCTTTGCCCTTCCATTCCCCAACCAACCCTGCTTCGCCGTAATAGGCTGTAGGAAGCCATCAATATGCACACCGCCAATCGTCCGCTCTTCATTATCAGAGTCATTAGTTCTAGGGTCGTATTTGTGAACTCGCATGCAATGCTCGACCACACGGTAGGCCAACGCAAAGTCTTTTTCGTGACCCCAGCAATCTGCGTGCGGGCAGCGCAGAGTGCCGATCTGGAAGAAGGGGCGTTTAAGTGGCGGAGGCTGTGAGATCGAGGGGATGACTGGAGGTGGTATGGTTGATGGGGTGTAGGATACTGGTCCGGGGGCAGCTTTTGATGCGAGTGCTTCGTGGAAGGGCATGAAAGACATGCCCTCGCCAAACAGAGTTGCGCAGCGCTGGGCAGTACGTGCAATAGCTCCTTCATTCCAGCCTTGTACAGCTGCTAGACCGAGCACTTCACTCCAATCAAGAAGCCCTTCTCTTAGTATACCTTCGTCTCCTGAACTATCGCCATCGCCCATGGTGCTGGAGGATCTGCGACGCTTCCGTTCGCGAGGAATTTTGTTGGACTTTTCCCAGTCAGATCCTCCGCTTGAGATGTCATCGTCGTTGGCGGGCTCTCTTTCATCTGTTGCCTTTCTGGCGGCTTTTGTCTTCTGTCGTACTGTGCGGTCGGCCTCCGTAGACGTTGCGCGCGAAAGTGGTCGGGTGCTCGATCTGCGACTTGTCGCACTCTTCGACCGAGCTCTAGATGTAGACCTTGATCTCGGACCATTCGACTCTGCGCCTGACGTGTATTCGCTCATGGAAGAATCGCCTGGCCCTCCACGACCGAAGTGGTTGACACGCGTTCGGCGGATGGCTAAGGCAAGCTCGTCTAGTTTCCCCATCATGTTCTGGATCGTCGGCTGGAGAAGTCGCTGTGCTCTCGCATCGTCCGCTAATAGAGTCGGCTCCATGAGTGTCTCAGTACGAGGTTTTCTGCCGCGTTTCTTCCCAGTCGCCCGATCGCGTTCGGCGTCGTTGCCATCGTCAACATCGTCTGTCCTGGTTCCAACCTTGGTCGTTTCTTTCGGCTTCGCAGAACCGGCGCTCCGTGATCGAGATCTGCTTCGCGAAGCTGACATGTGATCTCCAGCGTCGGAGTCAGACGAAGGCGTTTCCCGTGAGTTCCACTTCTCTTTAGCCAGCCGTAAGAAAACAGCTAGGAGTTCCTCTCGCAGCTCATCTCCTGCATCTCCGGTGTTTGCACTTCCAGCAGTCCATTCGTCCACATGGCCACTTGGAGGCTCTTCGTCTGGAGGGATAGGCCATGCCGTCCACTCTTTGGAAGGCACAATCGCCGTCTGCAAGAACCCCGCCGCATCCACGTACTCAAGATCTTGCCCAGTCTTGAGCCAGTTGTCCCTATTCTGCCAGTTTTTGACCTTCGCGTTGTCTTCTGGGAGCCGTCGTAATCGTCGCTTGAGTGCATGCGCGTTATACAGATGTACTGCGAGATCTGTCTCTTGCAGCTGATCGAGGGAGTCGGCTATCTGGCGATCCGCTTCGGTGTAGCTCTGCCATGTTTGGGGCGGCCCAGTGAAGCGATTCGGGCGCACCGGTACCTCGTCGTCGTCGTCCTCTCCATCAGACTCGTCCCGCGCTGACTCGCTGTCGGTATCCAGGTCATCGTTAACGTCTAAAGGAACCGGGATAGTGGGAGTCTGTGCTTCTTGTGCGTGACGCGGGTCTGGGATCTCCTCGACTGACGGCGATGAGCGCGCCGAGGAAGACGATGAGGTTGTGGATTCGTAGGAGGAGGGCGGTGGCGGAGCGCTACCACCAAATAACGACATCTGCGTTACAGTAAATGTCGAAGCGGGCTTGTGGTTGTCTTGGCGTCAACATCTGCGTTATGCGATCCAGCAGTTGTGGGAGTGTAGAGGCGCGCTCAAATTTTGGTGGGGTTCCAAGGTTCTCGAGAAAGACGCGCCGTCACGTTGCCGCTACCATCATCCCTGGTTTACAATCTGCGACCCATCTGGGCAGCGTCATACCACCAATCTCTCATATAAAGCCATCTTGCTAGTTCCCCATTGGTTTCTGGTGTTTCCATCTACATGTTGAAATTGCTTCAGGCGGTCGCTGCAGTGACATATTAGTGCCGGCATTTGTTAGGTCTTACACCCTCGAACATGGAAAGCAGGATCTAGGCACACTCGGATGACTACAGAGAGCGACCGTGGAGCGATCGTCATCTTACACGGCGTCTCGGTAGCTTGGCTTTATCTTCGCGCTGTGATGTACCGGCGCATTACACTTGTGATCTGTTCACGCACGTGCCATCGCTGGCAACTACCTAGGTGGGCGTCAGCGAGGCTACCTCATTAACCCTCTTTTTTGCCGTAGCCTCCAACGACTCATCAACACCACGAATCCACTTTCACAGCTAACTTTGGCTTGGCCGCGCGTTGGGTGCGTCGCAGAATGAGGCTCGGTGCCCTGTTTTCAGGAGATCATCAGTCGGAATACATCAAGCTCTGCGCTTACCTATCAGAACAAGCTATGTCCTGCGGCAAATCATCGTTAGTAGGTGCTGTCCAGGAAATTCATCAATGCTTTATCTCGGATCTCTGCGGAGTTTCATCACGACACAGTGGCCCGCACAGAGCGCTGAGTGTGTGCGAAACGTCGAGAACGAGATTTCTCACAGAGATAATGTCAGCAGAAGAGGTGCCGACTTCCGCATGGCTGCACGAAGACAGAAGTTTACCTCAACGCCATTCAAGAAAAACACTGACCACTTAAGAGCATACGTTGACGTCAGATCATCTACTTTACAAACTATTTTCTCAGTGTAGGCTATAGACCTGTACAACTTTTCCATTGTATGAGCTGCCTCTCTCTGTTTCCTTACCAATCGTCGATGTTCCAAGAATTTCAAGGGGAACCCTGATAGTGCCGAGAGCCTCAACGGCCTATGAACACGTTCTAAGCGCGGACGAACGCCCCGAACGCGGCGCTTTGAGCGTGGCCACCGTCAGCCTTAACATCAGTATCTCCACCAGCAGTGAGCTAGCGGCGAAATTCATGATGGTGTCGACTTCGATCCGGGGAAGTGGTCCAGAGCCAACACCACATAGTGATCAGCGGCGTGCGAAAATGCCCAAGCTGACGCATGGGTACTCATGAACATAACCGCAAACCAGGAACCTTACACAGGCTTCCGGGTAACGGCATAAAGCCGTTGAACGCTTCATGTCTTTCCAACGTCAAATCTGCATGAGTATTGATCAAGTTGACGACTGGTAGGCTGCCCGATAGTTGAGTATTCATTCGTTGTGCTTCGAATTACAGTAGCCACAGCGCCCATCAGCACTACAGCACTACAGCACACTCCCTGGACTGTTCCTCTGTTGACGGACTCATGACCCACTACCCAAAGCTAGTGGTGATGCTTGTCGTCGATTCTCTCAGGTGCGCGGTCCTACTTTGATTACACCTCGATCCACACAGTAGGACCGAACTGGAAGAGCTATCGCACATACACCGGCCATGCTTGTGGCAATATAAATACAATAGGTCTGGTATGCCAGATTATCACCAACCTCAGTCACTCTTTCAGCTTTCATATTATCTTGCAAGACTAATTCAATCATGCGTTCATTCGTTTCAATCACCGCCGCGGCGGTGGTCGCCCTTCCTTTCGCTATGGCAGCGCCCAGGTCGTCCAAGATGGAGGCCAGGTACTACAACCCGGAGCAGGTTATTGACACTGATGTTGTCATTATCGGAGGTGGAGGTATGGGTGCTTACTCTGCCATCCAGCTCAAGGACATGGGAAAGAGGGTCGTCGTTGTTGAGAGCTCGCACCGCCTTGGAGGTCACACCGAAACCTACATGGACCTCGAGACTGGATTCCCCATCGACATGGGAGTAAAGCTGTACCATGACGAACCTTTGGTGCACCAGTGGTTCGCACGCTTCAACCTCACTTTGGGCCCGGCAAGCCCGTTCCCTACCGGCCCAACCCAGCAGGTTGACTTCAGGACTGGTCAGGTGTTGCAGGGCCTTCCTCCTGCCAACCAAACCGCCTTGGCTGTTGCTCTCGCGAAGTACGGCGCCGTTATCGCACAATGGCCTGAACTTGAGGGTGGCTTCTACCTCCCCGACCCCGTTCCCGAGGACCTCTACATGCCGTTCGGCCAGTTCGTCCAGAAGTACGATATCGCGGATGCAGTACAGACCATCTTCGGTCTCACCTCCGCCTTTGGTGACATCCTCGAGCTCCCTGCCATCCAGCAGATCCGCACCATGTCTCTCGGTCTCCTGAAGACCATGCAGAGCTTCAAGACCAGCTCGGTAATGAACAACAGCATGCTCTTCGAGGCACTCACTGCCGAGCTGCTTGCCTCCAACTCTGTACTTCTATCCTCCAGGGTTCGAAAGACCGCGCGCGTAAGCAAGGTCGATGGTGGCGTCAAGGTCCTCGTCGATACCCCCAAGGGCCAGCGTCTTATCCAAGCCAAGAAGATTCTCATGGCCATCCCCCCCACGCCCGAAAACCTCACCCCCTTCGATCCCAGCGGCGATGAGATGAAGATCTTCAGCCAATTCACCTCTGTCGGCTACTACACCGCCATCATCAGGAACGCCGCTCCTACCAACGTCACCCTCAACAACCTCGCACTTGACAAGCCATACGCGCTGCCACCTATGCCCGCCATCTACAACGTCTTCCCCACTGTCAACCCTACACTCAACCAGGTCTTCTACGGCACAAAGGTCGGCCAGCACCTCAGCGACGAGGAGGCCCAGGCCGCCATCCTTGCCGACCTCAAGCGCTTCCACGCTGCCAACAACATGACCGGCCCCGAGCCCGAGATTGTCGCTTTCAGCAACCACAGCCCCTACAACATGATGGTTGGAGGCGAGGCTACCAAGAACGGCTTCTACAAGGACTTGTACGCTCTGCAGAGCCTGCGCAACACTTTCTGGACTGGTGCTGCGTGGAGGGCGCACGACAGCTCCAGCAGCTGGGCTTACACTAGCAGGAGTGTGCTGCCGGCGCTTGTGGCCAGCTTGTAGGTTTGCAAGCGGTGGTGGTGGATCATTTGGGTTAATCGATAATGGAGCGGTCACTCCCTTGGACGGTCAATGGCGAAGTTTTCCTTACATGCTGCTTTACAATAACTTCGATACTTGTATTAGTAGATGACAATAATCAAACGCCATTGTCCGCATTCTGCGACTCTTTTCTTGCTGGCCCACCCTACTAGGTAGGTCAACATGCTGGACCATCACGTGTCGATTCATGAGCCTTCCAAGGTTGGCTTACGCTCTCTTCTCAACCTTGGTTCACAGCAACCATGCAAATCAAATCTACCGAATTTTGATTATATGCTGCTGCTGGTGTCTACATAGATGAGACAACGTAAGACTCTGCACTTATACACTCATACTCAAATACTCTAGCACCTCTAGTCACTTTTGTAACACACCTCACCGTCTTGATACCTAGTATCTTCTGATTTGCGTCCTGCACTCTACTATGCTAATCATGCCACCTGCTAAACGTGTCCGACTTGAAGGCGCGCATACTCTCTCAACGCCCGTCCGCTTCCTCATACTCTCGGATACGCATGGGGCTGAATTACCGGAAAACCTCCCGCCATGCGATGTACTCCTACACTGTGGCGATCTGACAGAAGATGGCACCCCGGAAAGCATCTCCGCGGCCCTCCAGACGCTGGGCAAAGTCGAAGCTAAGCTGAAGCTTGTCATCGCTGGTAACCACGACATATCGCTCGACAAACCATACTGGCTCTCCCAGGGTGGAACTGAGACCGATGCAGAACGAGCAGAAGCGTTTGTGAGCTCAGATACAGGCTCCGAAGCAAGTAGAAACGGCATCACCTTCCTGAAAGAAGGCACGCATACCTTCAAGCTAGCATGCGGCGCTACATTCAAGATTTACACGTCCCCATACACGCCCCTCTACGGCGCATCAGCATTCCAGTACCCATCAAACGAAGACCGGTTCAATTCCACAGGCACTCCACCGTGGGCGAAGAACGTCGGTACCGAGACCTCGACCATCCCCAACGACGTCGACATCGTCATGACCCACGGCCCCCCAAAATACATCCTAGACACGACCTCTGACGACCAAAGCGCAGGCTGCGAGCACCTGCGCCGCGCCATCGCAAGGGCACAACCACGACTGCATTGCTTCGGCCACATTCACACGCCGCGTCGATGGTTCTACCAAGCACACGTGCTGGACTCCAGACGGGAAGCGGAGATAGATGCCAATTTCGACACTCATTCAATAAGCAAAGTCTGGGTAGGAACGAATTCAGCGCATAGGAAGGGATACAGAAGCCTGCCACCAGGCTCCGCTCAAAACTTCCGAGAGAACAAACAGCAGACGCTCTGCGTCAACGCGGCGATGGAAGGCACTGAGGAGCCCGGCGTTCTCGGACATCCACCCTGGCTCGTTGAGGTAGATTTGCCCGTGCAAAGAGACATGGGAATGGGAGATGCCGTCGGTGAGGAAAAGCATCTCACGTAAGCGCACCTGGGGCATACGGAAAAGGGAATCGCGTGTCGAAGCTCGGTGATGAGGGAGCGGCGGCGCAGCTCGGCGTCCGCGGGCCCCGGTAAGGCGGGCAGCTGCCGTAATCTGCATCTCGCGGTCGGTGGTAGGGAACTCCGAATTGGGGCCTTGCGACAGCATCGCGCAGGCTGCTTCACAGCTTTTTGGCGTAGCGCAATGGGTTAAAGTATTAGGTAGGACGCCGTGGACGCCGTACAGGAATATGAAGCGTACATATGTAGGAGTCTCGCTGTCTGT